CCCAAATGGTCGTTTACTTTCTCGTGTGCATCAGTCCACCGATTATTTTCATCTAACTGTGAGCTACGTATCCGGCCCTGTCCATCAAATCCCACTTATATTCCGTAGCTGCACATCCTGTACGACAAAGGTGGATCAAACAAACACGGCCACTGCGGTAAGCCAGCAATGCCAAACAAACTGCATATGTTAACGCATAGACGTGATTTCAGGCCCCCGTCCTCTCTCTTCCAGTCTCCTAGCCAGGGATATTCATACTTCGAGTTAAATTCGGATGTTACGCTTCTTGTACAGAGGGCAGGAGCGAGGCGGGAGAGGGAGGGGGGACGGGTTTTTTGACTCGAAACTTAAGCAGATCATCTCAGGAATCACTCGAATTGGGTCAGCCATCCTCTCCCCTATCTCGTTGATATATCACTTAAACTATCAAGTAAGGCATACTCGATAAATAACAAAATGAGAAAATAAAACTCACAGCGAAACTGATCTGGGAAAAAAGCACCAAATTTAAGCATAATATTTTATACTACTACTGATAAGGTGTGATAACAAAAACTCAATAAAAACGAAAGGAGCAAAATCGAAAATGTGGTGCGAGATACGTCCAAGAAACATCAAAATAGAAATGTGATACATTTAAGTGTTATGGAAATTTTAGACATATAAACCATGAATATGCCTGACTAGGAAATTGGAAGGGAACGGGGGCCTGAAATCGCATCTATCCATTAACACATGTAGTTTATTTGGCGTTGCGCTGGCCCATCAATGTGGAGAGAGGAACACAGTCGAATTTTGATAATTAATAAAAACACTGGAAATACCATTTAGATCTCCTAAAAAGGTAAGCCATTTGTAGCATCCATGTTGATGGGTGCCTAAGTAAGGGAAGTATATATAAAGAGGAAAAAATGGTAGGAGGAAAAAATAGTACGGGGAACCTGTATGTACCCTGCGATACATCCGCGAAACATCAAAGCTACTGCTAGCGCTTCTTTTAGTTTCAAGGATGAGAAAGAACCAGTCTGTGGACTAGCAGCCTATATAAGGAAAAAGCAAAAGATCGAGGTGCAGATTACAAGGGCTGTGTGTAAAACTCAACCACAGAGATGCGAAAAATAACAAAGAGGTAAAAGCAGGATATAGGTCTATGAAGCGACTGGAAATCTTATCTCACGAAACAACAGTTAAAGTTTCGCCTTTACATCTCCCATTTTGAGGGGATAACCGTCCCTGGTCACAGCCATGGTTTGTGGCACTGTTGCCCAAAATCCGACAGTTTCAGACGCTACACAGCAATATTTAGCCACTAAAATTAGTTAAGAACTGTAGCACCGTTTTAATAACAAATAAGAGAAGCCCATAAACGTCAAATTTAGTGCCCAAAAAACGTCATATTCAAGAAAATGAAACGTAAAAAAAATGTCAAAATACCTCCTTCAAAGCATACAGTTCTTTTTGGGCTAGTTCTTTAGCTGTGTAAATTTCTTTAACTCCTTCAGCGAAGTATCGTAGTTTGCAAGGGGCAGCATTTGAGACGAGATAATGAAGCTTTGCCAAGCACATTCACCCGCGTCACAAACTTATGTCCCGCCACCTCCCATTTCTGTCCATCGTACAGCTTTTTCCACAGCTGTAACGCTGCGCCAAACTGCTGGGCCACAGCAATTTGCCCTGGGAGGATGTAGAAACTGCTTGGCAGGACAAGCAGCTAAAGTCTTGATTGACCTGTAACAAGCCAGAACGGCTGTAGCGCTGAGGAAGACCAGTGATGAGCTAACTGCTGTGGCCCAGCACTTTGGCGTAGCGTTCGCGTCACAGTTGTGGAAGAAGCTGTACCTCAGACAGAAATGGGAGGCGGCAAGACATAAGTCGGTGACGTTTTTGCTCTGCGACAGCAGCACTTCTCTGCGGCTAAGGTGCAGGCTCGCGTAGACGAGCTGCAGAAAATCTCCTTCAGGAAACGAAGCAGACGTCAGGACCGTTAACAGCCTGATCACCAGGCGATGAAAAAATACTGGTCAAAAAACGTGGGAATGTTGCCAGCTACACAGAATGGATAACCAGATTACGAAATAACAGCTGTTTTCCAGGTACTTTAAGTATCAGAAAACATTACATGCGAAAATGTTAGAAAAATACGGGATGGAAAAAAACGTCCGAAATTCAACACAAAATAATACATCTGAAAAATCTGGCGTCCAAAAAATAAGGAGATTGAAGATGTCTGGATTAATGTAGGCAGAGAATAACGTAGGATCAAAATTTTTGCGTTTCATATAGTTCCAACATAACGTATTTTGTCGCCAATTCGAACAACCGTTTCATTTTTGGCCAAAACATTGATTGCCTCATCGAATAGCTCTCGTGTGAAGGACTACAACAAAGAACAGATATAAATAAAAATAATTAAAATAATTCAAAATTTATCACATATTGATAAACTTAATGATGTGAGATTCAGCGAATGGTCATCTCTGGTATTTAAAACTCAAGCACAGTAGGTTACAGAACGAAAATTTGGAGATTCGTGTGAAGCTGCATTCAAAATTATTGTTGTATCATGACTCCCTCCTAGGTAGGTTATGTATAATGACGCAAAGCTGCCTATATAAGGTCGCTGTTTCTGTGTTAAAAGATTATAGTGTTGTGTTACGGTGCATTGTGCAGGCGGCCCCGACGACCAACAAAGGACACGGATTCTACTAGCCCGAACTGTCGTCAAGGAACCAACGACCCAGTCAACTATCTGGGGAGGCACCGAGGCATCGGGCCAGCCCACGAGACCGCCAGGGCAGCAGCCCAAAATTACACCTAAATTTCAAAGCTGGACCATGTATTAGTAAAAATGGTGCCAACAAATAAACTCTAACTAGCAGCATTCAAAAAAAATGGTACACATTCGACAAATCGGTGGTCTTTACTAGCTGAAGACACGCAGCTCAGATCGAAATACCAGGCAAAACTGCCTACATCCACACTGTGAATCGTTCCAGTAATATTACTAATACTAGATATTCACGTCGAACAGTTTTTCGGACAATAAAAATTTGTAGATATTGCTATGGCCTGTTAGAATTACGCTAGAAATTCCGGGAAAAAAAAGC